ATATATATATATATATATATATATATATATATATATATATATATATATATATATATATATCTATCCAGCACCATCGTATGGAATCGATCTACGAAACCTGGCGTGTTTTTCCTCAGGTCGTCTCCTTTGCCCGATTATCGCGTAATACGTTCTCTCGGTCGCGAACTTCTATGAAGCAGACTCACGTACCCAGACTGCATTTTCTTGCAAGAGGTTTGAAGACAAGATTGAAGGATAGCTGTATTTCCCTCCCACGAGCATGCTATCTTTGTTTAGCTTTAGCCAGTAGAAGTCGAGCTGGACAAAGATTGAATGCTTGCAATAACAGAACGTCTTTTTTTAATCGAGTCTTCACTCCATTTTGCAGAGCGCTCACAAGCACTAAGAAAAGAATACTGGGAAATTTATTTGCAGGATATAAAGTTTATTTTTGTGAAATAAAGTTATTCCTACAGAATAAAGTTTATCTCTGTGAATAAACTCCACATCCCGCATAAATAAATTTTCAAGTATTTTTTTCTCGGTACAGTCTACGTATATTGAGAAGAAACATTTGAAAATTTACTTGTGAGACATATAAAGTTAATTTCCGTGAAGAAACTCGATATATCCTACAAATAAATTTTCAAATATTCTTTTCTCAATATATTTAAATCTGTGCTACGAAGTATTTAATTCCAATGCGCGACTAATCACTAATCAGCCGCGCCTATCATCGGAGCTGACACCGTCGGAAACCGTCGTCAAGTCGCGCGTGTGCCACCATTCGCGCGTTCTCGTTTAAACAGTAAATTTGTGCGATATGTATGTGTGTAAAGTAATTGGCACACAGGTATATACGCGTTATACAAAAATCCCTTACTTAATTGTTTCTACGCCAATTATAACACCGTCCTGCCGCCAATGAACGAGTTGGTCCTCCATCGTGCCGTCGCGCATCTCTTCGCGTGACGAACGCGGAAATTCTGAGCGCGGGAATTCTGATCGTGCACGTGATGACGGTCGTCGCGCATCGCACAAAATATACACCGTATCGTCGTGATCCCGTTTTCTCTTTCTTTCTGTCAGTCGCCAGCGTCGACGGAAAATAAGTGCCAACGTAACGTGCGATCGTCGACGAGAGTCCTCGTCTCCTTCCTCACGAACTTGGATCCGCGACGAGGAGAGTAGTAGCGCGCGGTAGTATAGGTCCTGCTAACGGTCGCTCTGGTTGGACTTGTTCGGTTGGCCGTTGTTCGAGAGGTGCTTCCAGAGGCCGGTGATCAACGGCACGTCCCTGAAGCTGTCGGCCGCCGGCTATCCCTGCTACGAGCACATCAGGTCGACCGACCTGGACTCGCCCCAGGCATTTTGTACTTTGAAGCCGGTGCTGGGCCGTGGTACCACGTGATGAGCCGGCGTGGACGCGCTTGTGTGCCTCAGCGTGGTCATGGGGATGCTGTTGGTCGTACACTTCTTCTGGCTCTTCTTCACGTCAGTGTCCTCCTCGAAACACACCTGGAAAGAACACGCGTTTCCAACTGAGTGAGGAAACAAGACGTTGGACGTTCTCGTCGACGACTTTCGACGGACGAATTCGAATCGCGTGAAGCAACGTGAAGTTATACAACTCGAAAGGGAAAAGGAAGAGAAAGACTAAACATTGATAAAAAAAATTAGCAGAAAGAGCTAGCGATGTAGCGGTGGCAACTATGATGTTTCTTTGAACAAATGCGTCGCGCAAAATATAATTTAAATATTTTTCCCCTTCTTTTTTATCACAAAGTTTGGGCTTCTTCGAATATTATGTGAAATGTGAAATTACATTGTCTCCCCTTACATAGAATAAGAAAAAATAATTTATTGTAAATATTAATTATTAGACCATGCTATTATCTTTTTCTAAAATATAAATAATGTTTAGTTATAATATCAAATTATTTCGTTTTATAATTTTAATTAGTAATTTTAATTAAAAGTTGTGTTAAAAAAAATGTTTTAATTATAATTTTAATTACTAACACAATTAAATTATTTTTATAAAATATGATAATTTTAGATATGGAAATTTATTAAAATTAGATTATTAAAAAAAAGATTATTAAAAAAAAGATCCACTGCTCGGGAATCGCACAGTTATTTTAAATCGCTCCACTGAAGCGGTTAATAATAATCTAGTTAAATTTATTTTATTGGCCGGTCCGGTTTTTGAAATAAGGACAGCTAATGCCAACTTGTCACTTGTTTCACTCGCGCTAATGTGAGCTTTTAATTTCAGCTGATAAACTTTCGCCTCGCAGTGAATGCATTTTATCTGTAATAGCCAATTCTCAGCTACGACAGAAACGACCAGCCTCTCGGCCAACTTCGAATCACCTACTGAGATTCAACTGATACTACAAAGTTATTTTCGCGCGTGATAACGCGAGTTTCATCGCTCACCCATGAATTTCCCGTCGGCTTCGGCTCGTTCGATAGATCGATCAGCAGATTCTTCTGGCTGTCGTTGTGTCGTTGGCCGTTCTGCTTATTCTGCTCGTTTATCTTGCCGGTGGTCTTGGTCTCACTGGTGCTCTTCTTCTCGCTATTATCTGTAATGGAAGGTGCGCGTGATTGGAGGTTGCCACGCACTATTTGCGACGGATTGATTAGTCTCGGTGTGAAATCTTGCCTGCCGGTAGCGATGTAAGAAACGCGAATCCGCGCGCGCGCTGTTCTCCTCTCGCTACCGCGAACTTTAATGGACCGTGCTCAGTGTGTGTGTGTGTGTGTGTGTGTGTCGTCCCAATATTAACGCACAATTTCCTGGCTCACTCGTTCGCTCACTAGGAAGCACCCCGCAATATCCGCACTCTCGGTGGGTTAAGTGCAGAGTGTATATAGGCACTATACTTCACGACCACCGGCGCAGTAACCTCTCTTTGCGCCGCGCGCGCCAAAATGCTCGATATATATTAGAGCCTGACGATTCTCCACGCGGAAGCGCGGAATCGAGAGTGAGAGAAGAGCCCACTCGATTCACCGCTAAGTTGCGCCGAGACGTTTAAAGCTCTCCTCGCGAACTCTCTATTCGTGTGAACCGCGTAGACTCGCGTAGATTGAAGGTGGAATTATCATCCGTAATAACAGATCGCGCGCAATTTACGATTGCGTTCGCAACTGAGAGATATAACAGCAGCAAGCCCTCACCGATCCTGTCACCCGTCAGCGGCGGGCTCTTGTCTTGAGTATGATGGATCCTGGGGTCGGACTGTGACAACTGCCAAGCTTGGTAAGCCGTGTTAAAGGCCTGCGCCACTGTCAGTGTCACAGTCTGTGCCATTTTTCTCTTGGGGCAGAGAAACGCGTGGCACTCCATCGTCTCGTTCAGGTTCGTCGCGATGAACGCGAACACATGGTCGTGAGTCGCGTCCGCCGAGCAGTACGAAATCCTGCAACAAACGAGAAACGCGGAGGTTATTACTAAAAGTAACGTCGGTGATCATTTTAGGGCTTTTAGGCTTTCGACTGTACAAAATGATCAAGAAACTTGTGAGAATCCACGAGGCTTGTTTATTACAATTTCTCTATTAATGTCTCATCAAGGAAGTTATTGTATATATATAGCTATTTAATTTATATATAGCTATTTATATTATATAATGAATGTCGTCGAAACCAATCTTTTGTCCTTAATTAGACTGTAAACTTAAATATTAACTGTGAATATTAACTGAAAAATTTAGATGTGACTCTAAATTTAAATCTCTGAATGTCCGTGAGATGAGTTTAAAGTAACCACTATATTAACATGAGTTTAATAATATTACACTGAGAAAAACTGCTTGAAAATTTATTTGCGAGATATAAAGTTAATTTCCTTGGAATAAAGTTAATTTCTGTGAAATAAAGTTAATTTCTATAAACAAATTCTATGTTCCAAATAATAATACATTTTCGAATAAATGCAAATAAATTCTTAAGTATTCCCAGTGTCTTGGCACAAGATCACTGAAAAAGAGAATTGTAAATATAAATTCCTTCTCATGTTTCTTATTAAAAAATAAGGTTTTATATAGCCGCGTATGCGCTGGCACGAGCGAGGCCGGCCTCTCGACGATGATCCTTAGGCTTTTGCGTGCGCTCGCGCGATGCAACTTATGCAAATCCGCGCTCACCGCTCACGGCGGCGGTCTCTTCCGTTTATGTCGCGCAGTATTCGCTACCGTGTATAGGAGTCAAAAGTTTGCCGGAGGGCACTTAGACGGTTCCTAAGGGAAGCCGGGGTAATATGCAAAGGGCGACGTTGCGCGGCGCACGAGGATGCACCGCGGGCGCTTATAAAAGGACGGAAGCACTGACGTAAGCGGTATTTAAGGAACCCTCGCGACGACGAAGAAGCTCCGAAGTCCCGTTATTCTTTATTTCAGACGGACTTGACGACGATCTTGACGACGTTTTCTTTAATAATGACGGCACAGCGTCGTAATACAATAACTTTATACGAGACTCCGTCTTGGATGAAAAATCTGTTCTCTTTCCTCCCTTCTTCTTCTTTTTTTCTTAATTCACTTGTTCTCTCTCTCTCTCTCTCTCTCTCTCTCTCTCTCTTCCTCTATCTATCTATCTATCAATCTATATCTGTCTCTCTTTCTCTCTCCTCTTTTTTAAATCGCGGTGTTATTGGCCACGGCCGAAAATCGATAACACCGGCAGCCACAAAATAATATTCTAACGTTTAATCCGGCGCGCGGCTTAATCTCATTCAGCGACGCGTCTTCGCGCGGCGGTTAATTAACTCGCTGTTAATGGCGCCGGCTCTACGGAGGTGCGCGCGGCGGTGCGCGATTACGGAAATTTATAACCGACACGTCAACCCTCGCCCCGTCGCCCTTTTTTGCGCCGCCCGTGAAATTTCTCGTTCGCCACTTCAGCGCGTGCATTATGCACGGCGGAACAAAGCCCGGCGGGTTCGCCGCGCGTAACAATGGAAACCACCGCCACTGCCGCCGCCCTCGTCGGAATTTCGCGTCCAAGCTAAACGGAGTCCGTCGCGAGATCATTATGACGAAAGAGAGAAAATAAAAGGGGGGAGGGGGAGAGAGCAAGAGAAAAGTACGTCTCGTTAAGTCTCACCGAACGGAAATTCGCCGCGACTCTTCCGGAACGTGCTCGGCGGTTTACCGGCTGTATTCGATGAAAATCGCGTTTTTCACGTACTGATAATTTTCCTCATTTTTATTAACATGGAGAAGAACGGCAATAACGACGAAATACGCAATTGTGCGGCTCTCGTAATGTTCCATTAACGAGATCGAAAATATTGTTCCTTCTCGAAATCGAATGTCGAACCTACGATGAGAGAGAGGCGAATATATATATATATATATATGAATGTATGTGTGTATGTGTATATAGGACATCCTGCAGTTTCTCAATGGCGGATCGGAAATAACCGCGCCAATAATTTCCCGCAACGAGTATCGAAATCGCATCGCGTTGCATCCACGTCGCCCGCTACACCCACATCACTATCATTACCTAGGATTACACTCTCAGATGCATATACATCGGATATAGTCGGCGCAGAGTCTCGGCGGAGAACCACAGCGCGTGTGAAACACGCAGCAAACCGCAACGCCTGGGCGCGCGCGAGTTTCACTTAGAAGCGATTAAAATTTCAGTCCGCGAGTGTGTTTCGCGAAAAAACGATTACTCATCATATTACACGCCCCGTACTCTCAATATATTTTCCTTGCTCCGGCAAGCGCGTTGCGTTTTTCGCACGAAACGAAAATCCGAGAATAAGAGAGTGAGAGAGAGAGAGAGAGAGAGAGAGAGAGAGAGAG